GCCGTTTCTGCATGATGCCAGCAGGCACCATTTTATGAGAACTGCGGGTGGAGGTCTGGTGTTTAAGGTCGTGTCATCATCGCAGCCACTTTCGTGTCGATCTCTGGTGACTTTGCACGTTACTGTCAGCTGACTGGGCTGGCAGAGCGGGCCGATGTTTCGTCCTTGACCCGCTCGGCTCCGGGTCACCGTGCTCAGCTGATATTTGCCGAGTTGCCCAATCCCGCCGCCGTGAATACCCCGCAGGGCATTCAAGACTGCGGTGATATGCGTTTCTGTCGTGATAGATGTCCTGATGGACCTGCATTTGGTGTCCTTTCAAACCTCGGGCAGGCCTCTCCAGACTCATGACGTGTGGTTCGCAGATCGGGCCGCCAATCTCCGCCGACTCATACAGGACCAGCGAACAGGACCGCCTCTCACGGCTGAACTTGAGTCTGAGTTCGCCCCGGCCGGTCTGCGTTGGTCCGCGCCTGACCAACTGCTGAGTCGTATGACACTGCAGAAACCCTCCGTCTGCCCGCTCCCCTGCCGGCACGCGAGGAATCTCTCACAGATCTGTACGGATGGACACTGTACTGAAGTCTGCTGCGCAATGCACGTGCCTCAGAGTGCATGGTTAGCAGGTCACCTGATTCACCTGATCATCACCCAGGTGAATCCTAATTAGTGATTTGCTCTTATGAAGCAGAGACGCAGCAGAGAAGGTTGTGTGACACATTTTCAACATCAGCCACTTCGCACAAAACGCATCCAATTTAGCCACGGGGAGCTCAAACATGATGCGTCCGCTGGTCCCCGGCCTTCCTCGGGTGATGTTTCTCAGACCTTCCGTCTGGCACGCGGAAAAGGGTGTGATCACTCGTTTCATTGTCAGATTTATTGGTTTTTCAGTTGATTTTTTCCAACAGTTTCATTGTCCGATACGTTGCAAGTATGTGACCACTTTGCTGGTTCCACACCGCTCAGGACGCCTCGCTGCTGGATCGCCCAGTGGTGGGCGGCGCCAGCACGGCATGTCACAGACGTCTCGCTGCTGGATTGCTCAGTTGTGGGCGGCGCCAGGACGGCATGCCGGGAGTAAAGTCTGCTGCAGTCACGAGACACCATAGCATATAGATACACCGATTCGCGTTTCACGCCTCATGTCCGGAATGTACAGCGGTGTTCAATCAGCTCATTGGCCGACTTTTGCAATGTCAAATAAACTTATGCCATGACTTAGCTTCTTACTGATCGTGATATGTTGCTTCGTACACTTTGGCTAGTTTGAGGCATGTTGCCAAAATGTGTTGCCGAAAATTCCATTTTGGTTTAAAAGCGTGGTCAGTGACTACCATGAGCTTCAGCTTCGTGACTGCTTGGTAGTTCTAAGTAAACACAATTTATTCTGTTTGATCAAAGCCGTATGCTCAACGGTTGTAACCTCAAAGTCAGCAAGAAATGCAGAACATATTCGACTCTTAGGCTTCCATAACTGCAAAACACCTGTAGGCGAAATGCTGATGGGTTGGAAGTTGTTGTGTTTACTAGATGCCTTGGAGTTGTGCTCATGGTCACTCCTGAACATTCGTAGGTGTGCTTTAAACTGATGAAGGCTTGGAGTTGAACTTTTTTGGCCATCTTAAACCTGCAATCGTTGAGCATTAGGATGACATTTAATCAGATTTTAACCAGCACCCTTCGTGTTCTTTTTCACCTTCGCCGTACGAAGAAAGGTCCCCAGAGGCCCCGAATATATGCTAGACTCATGCGGAAGATGACATTGAAAGCCTATGGTCAAACCACATTAGACAGATGTGTTTGAACATTGGATATTGAACAATTCAATTGGTCAAACGGAATCAAAGCAATCAAATTTTGACTTTTTATGACTCATCTTGTTTTTTTCAGAATCAAGCATACTACGACAATGCGGAAGACGGCGTTAAACACCTGTTGAAAAACATCAGTTATTTTAGAGAACAAGAAATAAGTGATCGTTGAAAACTGTATCATATGATGTATCTGATATGTGATATAATATTTCAGGTGAAAGGGATGGAAGCGGTTGTCGCATTGGCCATGGTAGCCACACAAAAATTAAACAAGGTTACAAAAGCCTTCTCAAGACGTTGGGGAGGTGCAATTGTGATTTCTATCGGATGGCTTACAAGCGGTAAAATCTTATCACACAAATTGAAATAAAACCAAACTTGACCTTGGGTGAGCTGACCTTGCAAAGACCACTAAAACGATAACAATGCACTTCAGATTGATATGGATGAGAAGCGGGGTCTAGACAATCCTCTTGAAGTTTATTTCCTGCGAAAATTGACCTTTAACGTCGTTCTCGAGCAGAATGTCACCAACACGATCTTGTAAAATCGTTCATACATTGTGAGCCATGTGGCTCGCAAACGTCAAATTTTCACAAGCTGTGTGAGAAAAATGTAAACTTAAGTAGCCAAAATTTCCTTTTTCAGTCTGCCCATTCGCACCTACAGTCTGTTTGTCTGTGTGCACCTCCTGTCTTCTGTCCGCTTACCCTTCCAGCGCCTGTACCTCTCACCCGTCCGTCCTTCCGGTAACTGATTGCATCTGTCCGTCGGTACATCCAGTCAACAGTCCGCCAGCACTCCTCTACACCTCTCGCCTCCACCCGTCCAATGCCCAGCTCAGACCCCGGTCCTTCCGTCCAGCCCGGACACCCGTCCCTCTGTCCAGTCCAGACCCCGGTCCCTCTGTCCAGTCCAGACATCGGTCCTTCCGTCCAGCCCGGACACCGGTCCCTCCGTCCAGCCCGGACACCGGTTCTTCCGTCCAGTCCTGACACCGGTCCCTCCGTCCAGTCCAGACCCCGGTCCCTCCGTCCAGCCCGGCCACCGGTCCTTCCGTGCAGCTCGTGCACCCGCGCGTCTGTCCCCCCCCTCCCCCCCCCTCCCCCCCATGTCCAGCCGCTCATCAGCATCCGGTGTCTATATCGGTCTGCGGGCTTCCGTGCCGAGGGGTGCGGACGGTGACCGGCCGTCGACCGCGGTTCACGGACACGGGAGAAAGCCCTCCGCTCGCCGCGCCGGCCCGCCGGCGAAAGCGAAAGTGCAGCCCGGCTCCGAACACCGCCCTTGCCCCGTGGGGAGGCCGCGTGTCCGGCGCATTCCTGGTAGATGCACGTGGTGGTGGAGTACGCACCCGTGGCTTGTTGCCATTCAAAAAGCTAATTCTGCTAGATGCTAATCACAACTAATTAAGTGAGGCGGCAACACTATTGCATGCCCAGATTATCATTGGGAAATGCTCCAAGCACGAGGAGCATTCTTAGCACTGGCACGGCGCAAAACTACGGTCTCGTCACGCCGCAGTTCACACTTACTCCCACTTACTCACTTCCTACTCACGTAGCTTGCTCCTAACGGCAGGTTTGGCTTGCCCGGAGGGGACATATTTAGTTTACCCTGCACGTGACAGGCTTACCCTGTTTTGCAGAGGCACGCTCGGTTCGCCCTGTTCCGTGCCGCTGGTGGCGGGGTTGCTGACCCGAGCCCCGAGCGATTGCCGAACAGCGCTGAGGGTAGCACACGAACGGACGCTGAGCAGAGCGGCAGGTATGGAACCGGCCGGCAACAGCGCTGAGGTTTGTATGCGAACGGACGCTGAGCAGAGTGGCAGGTATGGAGCTGACCGGCGACAGCGCTGAGGTTAGCACGCGAACGGACGCTGAGCAGAGTGGCTGGTATGGAGCCGGCCGGCGACAGCGCTGAGGTTAGCACGCGAACGGACGCTGAGCAGAGTGGCTGGTATGGAGCCGGCCGGCGACAGAGCGACCAAGCTGCAAGACAAGGTGTTGGAGCCGCTGTCTGATGGTCGTAATCTGCGCCTGACGGCTGGAATGTGAGGCTCCTGAGGCGCGCCAGGATGGTCACCGGCTGCTCCTGAGACGCGCCAGGATGGTCACCGGCTGCTCCTGAGGCGCGGCAGGATGGCCAACGGCTGCTGGTGGCCCGGTGCTGAGTTCTCGGACAGCAAAAATACATAATTGGCCGTCACTTTTAAGTGCAATTTGATTGCTATTTGTGGTCTACGCTATCGTCAAGAGTAGTGCAACTGAGGCTGTTTATAAGTCGTTGCTGTCGTAACTCGCTGGCTCGAGGGACGTTGGGATGAGTAGAAGTAATAACACCGTCAAAAGTTCTGTGGGTCTCAATACTCTCTCGCCGCCTGAGCCTCCCACGCTGCTACGCTATTTCGTTCCTCTATGTTGCCAGATTGTTATGGTTGATTTGGGTCCCGTCACCCCGTGCTACGCGGCGTCCTCGTGTTGAAAACGTTCGCTGTCCTGCTCTGGAAATACAGCGAAGCCTCTGGGGTCATTTGACCATGACAGCCCCCAGGTGTCTCGTGGCCTGCATACATGGTCCGTTCGTTCGGCAGTTCTGGTGATGAATCGGTGAGTTCTCATCATAGGGTGGCATCAAGATGATATAGCCAGATCAGGTGAATTTCGGTGTCGTCTGCAAAGGTAAGTAACGAAGCGCAGTATTGGCTATTCATATCTTGTGACAACTGGTCACATACACAAGTGCACTCACCTTTAGCGGAAAGGAAATAGCCAGCTTCTGACTACGACAGAGCAGTGAATGGTGAACATGTAAGGGGGAAGCGAAGGAAAGAGAGGCCCGTGGCATACTTCGTTGCCGTTGTTTAGCTGCTACTGTGGTAACACTTATTACGATATCTCTAAAAACTTGAGCAGCTGATAATAATAGCACCAGTGAAGATGAAACCAATGTTGTGGCAGAGGTAGCCTGTGAGGCATCCATCATAATTCAAATGCATGTCTCTTCGTGCGTTAACTGCGCGTCAGTGGTAAGAACTATTTCCCCGGTCTCCTTTCCGCTGCTCTGGTGAGCACAGTCTGTGGTGCGAGCCTCCATGTCAGGTGATCAAGATAACCCCATGTTCGCCCCATTCTCTATGGTCCCATTCTTTAACATCCATGCCAGTGTTCAGTAAACGCCAGCTCCTTGCATAGTTTATTACAAAATGCCGTGCCCTACGAGGGGCCGGGTCGCATAGTTCAAGACACCGAGTCGCACATCACATCAAAAACAAGCTGAGCACTTCATCACTTAGGCTAAGGGGCGCGAATTCCCATACACATGACACTGCAATTGTTGACCAGATTGGGCGGACCAGCCGATCCCGTGACTCCTTCCTAGACTATTCACATATGTACACCGTTAAATAATTACATAACAGATAAAGAACAGCTGATTGGTGACCTGTACAGGAAGGTCACAGGCCCTCGGACGACGTAACAATAGAGGAGTAGAGGTGACTGTTGGGGCCAGAGTCTGGAACAGACACAGAAGGCCGTTAGTGCCGCCCGTGTCATGGTGAACATGGTGACGACCGGAACACCCACCGCCCGCTGAACAATCTGATGCAAGATGCGACAAAAAAGCGGTAGAAAATGACATCATTAAAAGGTGTCGCCACCAACTTCAATTATGTAAATCATGGAGGTCACAATCAGCCGAGGGCGAGGCAGTTTTCCGATTATGTTCCGCTTGTGCGAGGGCGGATACTGGTGCATTGTTCTTAAAACTGAGGCCACCCTGCTGGGTAGTTCGGTTACTCTTCGTGCCAACACCAGTTCGACAACTGCCACAAAATAGATGATCTTGATCGCATGTTTGGCGAGCGCGTGCGCGCCGCTGATAAGAGAGAGGCCACCAGCCAAGAGTGTGGAGGCGAGCAGGCGTATCGTCCGGTGAAAGGAATGATGGCTGCCTCGTGCCCGAGCTCGAAAGTGAGTCTGGGCGAACACCGCCTCGGGCCGACCACTTTCTCGGCCGCCGCTCACACGTTCAAGGTTGCCGGCATAGGCCACCGATCGCCCCGCGCCTCCACCACGCGGCTTTTCCCTCGAGAGGGGCGTCAGCTGTACGCGGAGCTGGAGAAGCGCGGACGGCAGCGCGCCTGAATGGCGCGGCGCGAAGCGCGTCGGAAGCTGACGGCACTGAACGGCTGTGAGAGCCGAGACGACGTGAGCTCTCGCGACGCGTGAGGCGGCGCCGCGTGACACCGCCGCGCTCAGACACGCCGCGCGACGAGCTCGCTTTCTAGGCGACGCACGGTGCACCGAGGTACCTCGCGTGGCACTGTACCTGCCCTCGATCGTCAGCGGCGCCGTCGCGGAGAAAACCGCGCCGCTTTGGCCGCCTGAGCGGACGCCCGTCAGCGGCAATACAGGCGGAAGTGAGCGGAGACGATCGGAAGTAGCCGCATCTGAGCCCGCAGTGACCGCAACTTGCATTTGTCACAGCAGCCAGTGAAGGAGATCCTCTGATCGAACGAATGCGCGCGAGAAAGTCTAGCAAAGTCTGTGTAGTTCAATCAGCACCTCAACTGCCACCCCGCTTGGACCCGACCCGGCTTGGGTCGCGTTGTTGGCGGCTCGCCACCGCGTAGCCCACGGTGAAAGTACACGCCGCTAGTGAAAGTGAGCAGCGGTGCCGGGGGCGCGCACCGCTCGTCTCAGCGCGCCATGAATGCCGCTCCTGTTGTGACGTCACCGGCCGAAAGTGCCGGTCAGCGCCGACGGCCGGGCGCGCCGTTGCGACACGCAGCCGGCGGCGGGCCGACGCGCTGACGAACGCTTCGCTGCCCCGCTGACGCAACCGACGCGCACGAAGCAGATTTTCTGGGTCGCCACGGTTACGGCAAGGACGCGGCCGGACTGATTGCCGCCCTGCGTTGCGGCAGCGCGTTGGATTGGCCCGGCGTGGGCAGCTGGGCGGAAAATGACCTGGGTGCCCGCGTTTCGTCGGCGCGCTTGCCTCATCAGCGCGAAACGATCGGCGCGCTGGCCAGCTCAACGCCGTTTGCACGAAAACAGCGCCAAAGTGGACATTGCCCCGCTGGGCGGATATGGCTCAGCGGCGTTTGCGTAGCGCTGCTTCATGACGCTTGCCCATCGTTAAACTCCCGGCTGGCCGGCATGGAGGTTGGGCTCTCCCCTGCGCCTGCAGACGTCGCTGATGCACGCTTGCGGAGACGGGCATGCCCGCACGCCGCTGGGACTCACCACGGGCGCCTATTTGCCGTAGCCGTTGTTGTAGCTGGGGTAGGTCGGCTTGGGGCAGACGGTGACGTACTGGTTCTGGGTAGCGGTCTGTAATGGAGGCGAGGAGTGACGATACTGCACCTGCTGCGGACGGCATCCAGAAAGCTGCTTCTCGGTCTATTTGCCTGATAGATGTGACTCGTTAGGTGCAGCCATTCTAAGCCCGGTTATGCGCATCTAATATGTTTTGCGATCAGTCGAGCCCAACTAGTGTCTCCCGAATGCATGAGCACGCACTGCCGAGCAGAAGTGGCATTTCACGCCACTGGAAGGACGCGCAGCACTACAACAGCGCGTAAACAGACCCCCCCCCCCCCCCCGGAATCTCGGAATCTCAGCTCTCAGTCGGAAACACACTCCCAGCGGGATCCTGAAGTGAACGTACCTTGGTGACGGTGACGTACTGGTTCTGCGTCTCCGTCTGGGTGACGTACTTGTACTCGGGGTACGCCGAGGTCACGGTCTGAGTCACGTAGTTCGGCACGTTCTGGGTCTCGGTGACGTACTCGTAGCTGACCTGTGGGAGACACGAGGTTAGCTGGGCTGCTGGTCCGTTCAGGGGGTGAACGGGTCACGAGACATAATGGAGAGGAGCCAAGATTAACATGTGCATGGGTTTGACGCTTAGGGAATCCAGAGTATAAGATGGCTTGTGCGTTTCCGGGTGTGCTACACTGCCTCATTGTAAAAGCATCGAATTGGCTTAGATCCTTACTTGACCTTGCATCGGTCCAACCAGCTTTTGTGTTTGTTCATAAAATCATAGAAACAAGCTATTTTTGATTCCGTCCCAGCTGTAAACGTATCACGAAGTCGGTCCACTAAGGCTGTCACGAAGCCCAGCCCCCCGACATATCCTGCAGCGCCCGGAAATGGCTGCAATGCCTATGAAGCACGAGCTTATCTCCGTGACTTGACCGTCGCGGGGAGGGAGGGGAAGGGGAAGGGGTTCGGGAGGCCGACCCACGTACCTTGGTCTCCGTGACGTACTGGTACTCGGGGTAGGCCTGGGTCTGGTAGGCGGTCTTGGTGACGTAGTAGGGGACCTGGGCGGTCTCGGTGTAGTACTTGCTCACCACCTCAGTCTCGGTGTAGTAGGCCTTCTCTGTCTTGGTCACGTAGGCCGTCTCGGTGAAGTACTGGTGCTCCGTCACATACTGCGTGTCGTACAGCACCTTGGTGCTCACCTGCGGGCGCAGAGGTCGCGCAGGGGGATGGGGTGTCAAGCAGAGTCACGACTGCGCTCGGTCAGCCCGGCTGCCGAGGTGACGTTTTAGATCCCTTGTTCATCTCTCGGAGAGTACAACTCCTTGCAATTTTCCAATATGGATGTGCCTTCAGAATCAGCTGGCATTTCAAGCATAGGAACCGCTAAAAATTGCACCTATGGAGCGGCATGCATATCCATCTATGCCATTCTCGCATAACCAAGCGTAGAATCCAAGCATGAAATGGATTTAAGTGGGGGACGGACGCCGGCTGCAGAGTCTTGCATGACCCAATGTACGTTTGCCCCGCCTGCAGCAGCAGCGCTACATCCCCGTCTCCATCCCAAGCCCCTCGCCGACTCTGCCGGCGCGGGCCTGGCTCCTGCCGGGCCACGGCGCTGGCTGCCTCGGCGCGAGACCGCTGCACTGACCTTGACCTCCGGGGCCACGTAGCTGGTGACGTACTGCGTCTGGTACTGAGTGCTGGGGTAGTACAGCGTCTCGGTCACCTGCTGGTACAGCGTGGTCGGCTGCAGCGCCGTGTACGTGTTGTACTTGGTCTCGTAGCCGATCTTGGTGGAGGTCACTGCCGGGAGCAGGCGAGGTCAGTCGGTGGGCGGGGGTGGCGCCGTCCGGCGTGCGGTGGCGCCGTCTGAGGCCGACTTCTCATGCAGCGGAACGTGTTGGGGATGGCGCAACAGCAGGGAAGCTGTTGGCAGCGAGACAGCTGCGGAAGCGTCCCTTTCCCCGGGCAAGGTAACCTATCCACGCTGGAGGCATGAGATGGTGGCCTTTAACAACTGGGTATTCCAAAGCCCGTCTCCTCCGCACGGGGACGCTGGCGGGCGTGAGGGGAAGCCCGCGCCGTTACACCAGAGCCCAGGTGGCTCTCGAGGCGCCAGATTCCGGTTCTGGTGGCCAGACCGGTTGCGAATTGCAGCACGCGACCTTCCGGCCTCTGGCTGCAACCGGCGATCAATATTCATGTGTGACAGAAGCGTAAGACGGAAGAGGCGCCCCTGTTACTGACCCTTACTAACCCGCTTAGAAAACGTTTTGCATAAGCTATGCAGCGCCGGTTGCAGATAAATGTGGCGCGAACGGGACCCAAGCGTGCCTCGACCAGCGCTTGTACAGCCCGCCTTCCGCCAGGTGAAGCGGCGTGCAGGAGCCCCACAGTTACTTCCGTCTGCAGACATCTGAACACTAAAGACTCCTTCTAAGACTGGTCAAGCCTGCTCTCTGGCTAAGGACGCTGAATGCCAGCCTATGCTGCCGTCGCCCGTCGACGTTCTTTGAGTTCGTCGGCGCTTCGACAGCAGTGATAATGTTGGGAGTAGCCCGTCGCACCCTAGCCTGCGGTACCCTACCGTGCCCTGCCGTAGCCTGCCGTGGCCGCGCCCCACGTACCGGTGACGTAGTGGGTCTCAGGCTCGCAGGCGGGTGTGCCATAGCCGGTGGAGGGGGCTGGCGCCGGGGCGTCGTAGGAGGGCGCGATGGGCGGCGCTCCGTACTGCGGCGCGGCGTCGGGTGTGGGCACGGCGCAGGCCACGCCCACCAGCATCAGCACGGCCAGAGGATTCATCCTGTGGAGGGGCGCGGCGGTCAGATGGGGCGAGACGGCTGGGGCGGGTCAGGGGGGGGGGGGGGCGTGAAGGCTGGGAGGGCCGGAATACCGGAGGGGTGATACAGGCCACGGACCGGCAGGTATGATTGGTGGTACCGCGCATCGGCAGACTGGTGCGCCAGAGACTGGCCCTTAAGACAGGCTGCCAGGTGAGCTGACCCGGTACATAAGGTGTCTGGTGGTTCGGACATGAGACGTCAGCCGCACCAGGCAGGAAGACATGAGACGGCAGCCACACCAGGCAGGAAGACATGAGACGGCAGCCACACCAGGCAGGAAGACATGAGACGGCAGCCACACCAGAGACGGCAGGAAGTAAGGGTTCAGGGGACGAACAGCTGACGCTGCGCCTGGTCTGAGGGACAGGATCGGAGCGTCGGAGAGGAGCACCGCGGCGACGGTGGCGACGTACCGCCTAGGCGGTTGTGTTGTCGCCGCTCGTGATGATCGCGGCGGGGATCCGGAACAGAGCAAATGGGCGGGTGTCGCTTGTCTAGAGGCCGTGTGAACTGCGATATTTACTGGGTGATGCTAGAGAATTCGCAGATGCTTGGTAACTGTCAACTGCCGCAAGTAATTTTGAAAGTCACAAATTCAAGATGTTGTAAAGGGATGCCTGGTAATTGCAAGAACTGCCCACACAGACATTTTCAAGGTGGAGAACGCGACATTCAACACCAGAGCAAATGGTAGCAAACGCTGTCTTTAAGCCATGTTTGGCTAAGAACAATACGGCGAGGTGCAAATCTGGGCTCAGTGTGCTCACAACCGAACATTGTGAGCATGCAGCTGGGTCAACATCACTGCAGCCAACAAACTAATTGAAACTGATCTTGGAGGGTTTAAAGTCGCCGGCGACGCGGCACTGAAAGCGCAGACAGATTGCATGGCTTTAACTGACTGACAATGTTTGGAGGAAAAGGGAGTTCGTTGTTAGAAATGCTAAAGCTTAAACGAAACGGGGGCCAACGGAGACCAAATAGCAAAGTACGGATTGATGACATGTGCAGGTGTTCGGCTAAGCCCAAGAAAAAGAAATTGCGACTAGGAAACAAAATCGCTCACGAACTGATGCACCCATCGACAGGCCCTCAGCTGCCCCCCACGACACGAGCACACCACCTACATAGCTTGGGTCGTCACCACCGCACGGCACCGGCACTGGCTGCCGGCTGCAGCGGCCCTCCGCTGACACCGGCGGTGCTGACCCGACCTCGGGTCACCGGGCGCCGCCGTACTTACTTAGCGTGTCCGTCTGCGGAGCGAACGAAAGACTGACTCTGCCGGCGCGGCGGCCGCTTATATACGGGCCGGCGTCGGCGCCTCACACACTTTCCACCTCCCGTGACTGACCCAGTTCGTCGCTAACCGGCGACGTCTGAGGGGGGGGGGGCAGGGGGCATTCCGAGCAGACATCCCCGGGTTGAAGAGGCTCCTCTTCTGGCGGGGCGGGAGACGAGTGGGCACGGCAGAGGCGGGCTGAAGATGCGGAGTGACCCGAGACGCCGTCAGAGAACTACGCCCAGCTGGTGGATGGGAACTTCGCATACGAAGCAAGGCGATGTGATGGCTGTCTCTGGTCGGCGTTATCAGCCTCGGAAACGACACTGCATACTCACCATCCCAGGTGCGGGAGGTCTTAGTGGAATACACGCAGCAGGCCGCCTAGTCTGCGATGTCACAGGATGTCACCAGATACAGAGCAGGATTGTTAAAGAATCATCAGATGCTATTCTTAGCAGCCATACCGTGCAGTTGATCCATATGATGACGCTTTGGTCTTCCATCTAAACAGAGTAGCCCTCAATAAACTTTAAAGCTGCCTTTGCATGTTGCCTATGCACGCTAATGCTCTCCAATGCGCGTGTCTTTCCATTCAGGTGGATGGGGCAAAGATCTCGTAGTGATGAGCAAAATTGTCACGAATAATTCGAGCTCGGAGAAAAGACCGCAAGGGTATAAATGCCAGAATTCTTGATCGAGCAAAGTTCATAAGGCTTGGGAGAGTAGCTAATGTCGCTTGAGACACACTTCGCCGGGATTGGCGTCGCGCCCGGGGAAGTAAATGTTAAGATTAGCTAGTTAAATTGTTGTGAGATAAGATAATGGATAAATGCAAAGGAGAGTAAATAAGCCTTTTGGTACTAGTTTCATCGAGTGCTATCTGGGGATGAAATAGCAACCGCAGGATAATGCGATATTGAGAGACTTTATA